CTCACAATGAAAACCATAAAAAACCATCCCCCAAGACACAAAACCAGGCTCGTGTTCATTTGCTTTCAGCTTAACAGTTATTTGCATTTAGAACAAAATACAAAAGTTGCTACGCCGTGATGAAATATGCTTATCGGCGCTATGGCAGCCTCGTTTCACGATGTTTTACGGCTTATGAATAATAGTTTACTTTTTAATTTTCTGCTTTTCGTGTATCTGGTAATAGCTCTTATTGCGCTAATGGCTTAGACTCTAGCAGCTTTGTATATTCAATAAATTTGCGGAAGAAGAGAGCGCGATAACACAAACATTGTAAATGCAAGCTCGGTCTAAAAATGCAAACAAAAGAGGTATCCGCTTTTGATATCGAGGCGATGAAAACTTTACGAGCGACAGCTTTCTTGAGAAACCTGTCAGCCACGCCGAAGTTCAGAAAAAAAGAAAACCTTTGCTTAGTGTCAACGGGAGACAATTTTTTCCCCTAATTTAGTCTTTCCACTGTTTGTTCAATTTTTCTATTTAGCTATCTTTCTTAATGAATGAAAACTCCCTCCTTCTTACGGTGATTGGCCAAGCCTAGACTTAACGTCGACTATTGAAAATGCCGCTTCCGATTTCGTGCTTGAAAAGAATCGTTCCTTCCTCAACACGAAAGATATCAAAACCGACAAGAGTAGCGTGCATTGATTAGAAAGACAAATTTCGATAAGAACACAATGAAATGATATTCTAAATCGTGTTTCAAGTATCTTCAGTTTCTCTCAGAGAAAGAAAAGTGTATTAATTAATCTAGAATGAAATATTATTTTTCAAGCTTCCATCTTGGCGACTTATTATATTCACTTTTTCCATCGGTTAATGTAGACAGGTGAACAAGCGTTTTGAATATAAATGTCTCCTTCTGCTACTAAAAATGAGAATCTTTTGTTAATCTGTCAAACAAGACACTTGTCTGGATTATTGATTTCTTTTCATGTCTTGCAATCTTTCCTCAGCTTGCAACGATAATTACGATATGATGAAACATAGTTTACGACCTGTGAAATCCATTTTCTTGAGTACATGGTTCTAAAATTGCTCGCGTTTGGCACACACAGCCATATTATAGATATAATGAGAATTAATCTTCTCTGGGGCGAAGTATTTATTCAGTTCTCCAGTTAAACTCAGCAAAAATGACGAAAGCAAAAAACAAATATGTTACCAAAAAGGCGTCGTAACCCGTTTTCATCTTGTTCATTTTATGCATAAAGAACTTTATTCTTAATTCTTATCAGAATTTTTAATTTTTCGAAGATCCATCCGCACCACCATGTGCAATTTGCTTGAGAAGAACTTAGAATATATTATTGCACTGTTCAATTGTGGGCCCCTGTTCCTTAAAATATCACAAAGCGGTATTAGTTTTATTAATGACGCGTTAACTTACTCTATGTTTAATTTTTTTGTTTTCCAACAGGCTGTTGGTTACATCTCTCTCATATTTAACGTGGCGGTTGTAACACAGTTTTGTATCCTGACTTTAGATTACTTTAGTAACGAGGACTCCGCACAAAACCAAGTGCTCTTCATCATCGAATCTGTAGCTGTTTCTTGGTTCACGTTAGACATCGTAATACGTCTGTTGTGTTGTGCCGATCGGGTGCGCTTTCTGAAAACGCTTCAAAACTGGGCAGACTTCATTGCTATCATACCGTTCTACTTGGTTATTCTTACGCCATACGACCAAGTCATCAGAAACTTCAGTATTTTGTACGTGCTTCGAATGATCCGCACTTTTAGACCATTAAAATTTTCTTACGTTATGCAAGTCTTTACGCAAACGCTTCGCGCCAGTTCGCGCGAATTGTACTTCCTGATCTTCATCCTGGGCCTTGAAGTAATAGTTTACGGCAGCCTCGCCTATTACTCTGAACGGAGCATGCCCGAATCTAAATTCGTCAACATTCCAGTCTCATTCTGGTGGGCCTTAGTAACCATGACAACGGTGGGGTATGGTGACATGTATCCGACAACTCTGCCTGGTAAGTTAGTGGGCTGTGTCTGTGCAATTAGTGGTGTGCTTATGATAGCGCTACCAGTGTCTGTGGTGGCCAGTAACTTCTCATTGTATAACTCCTACGCAAAGGTGAAGCTTAAGCTTCCTTCACGCGGGAAGAAAAATATGGTCGACAACGCCCTAAAAGCGTTGCAGCTCTCCACACCACAGACCAGCGTAAGCGTTCCGTCGCCCGACGGAGTTAACGGCAATGGAAGAGGCCGTTATGCATCTCTAGCCACCTCGGGTATTGAAATGGGATTGCTAAACTCCAATAAGAAGAGTCCTGCGGAGGAGGCTGATCCGTTAACCAATTACGAGTCAGATAACCGTAGATTTGCCAGGCGTTCGGCACATTTTTCCTTAAACCTGGTTCCAATAAGAGCGCATCCAGAACTTCCTGAAGGAGACAGTGAATCAGAAGAGAACACAAAGATGGGAGCCGGAAACCATTTACAACCTGCAAACAATAATCTAGGTTAACCCCTAAACATAAACGTAACACGGACCAACTCGAAAATGTCAACAAATAGTCAAGCACTAAAAGATAACGTAGAATTAACACGGCATGAAATATCTACAAATAAAAATATCGCCACCCAGAGATATGATGTGTCACAACCCGTGACACATGAGTTTAGTGAGAAATGAAAGGGTTATTATCAACTAGCCAGTCACGCCCATTTTGAGGAAACATTTCTCCAATGGTGGCGCTTCCTAAGGAAGGACACAGAAAACAATCCTTTAACCTTGTCGGGCTGCAAACCGTCATGTCATTCTTCAGCTGGTCCCGAGAGAGAGCGTAAGTAATTCGTCCAAGCGCAAACAAAATCTGCGTACAGCCATGAAGCATTTCTTGGAGTAGGTTTGCGCGGACAGAGCTAAATATGAAGAATTTAATTGACGATGTTATGGAAATTGTTTTCCCAGACTCCTCCTACTCGGTCATGATAAGAAAACAACATGTATGATTACATTTAATGAAAGACTTTGCAAGAAAAGCAATTTGCGGTGTTTTCACGAGGGAGCAATGATAAAAATATAAACAGACACTAACAACAGATAATTCACTTTCAGCTATTAAAGTTTTCATTTACCACACCAATAACTGTACGTTGAAGGCGTGTCTGATAGTACGTCCGCTTTATTTTTCCTAGGTCAGTTTTGCCGATGCTAAAACATTAAAGATAGCTATGTCAGTAAACCAATTGTTGGTCTAATAGGCCCTTTGCTGCTAAGCCATCACGTGACCTATTTTCATAAAATTATGGGTTATAACTTATTAACGAATGCCAGAAATGGAAAAAGCATGTTGAAAATATCAAATGGCCAAGTTTGAGGCCCCCATCATTAAAGAAGGAGATTTTATGACGGAAAAAGTTGCTGGAGGGCAAGACCTTGCAAGACCTTGCTCTCCAGCAACATTTTACATACAAATCCTCTAAATTTTCCAAAAATTCAAACTGTCGTATAAACTTACTATTTAATTCCAGGGGCCTCAAACTTGACCATTTTGGTATTTTCGATGCGCTCTTTCCATTTCTGGCATTCTTTAAGTTATAGCCCATAATATAAACATTTTCTAGGAAAAATCTGGTCACGTAACCCCAGCTGCAAAGGGCCTATACTGAGAGAATCTGCAGACAGGTGCAGAATAGAGAACTCCTCACGCACATCGCTTGTTGTTTTGTACTTCAAGTAAGGGGCGAACCATTTGACTTTTGAGGGGGAGGTTGGAAGATTTTACAGTGGGAAGAATTTTTTTTCCCAACTGACCAACAAGGCAGAATTTTTTTTTTCAGTCAAAAAGCGGTGCAAGCATTGTTTTGTTTTTTTGTTTTCTTAGATTATCCGTTACAGGATTTTTTTTCACTCCAATAAGGAGTGGGACAGCCCTACCTATTGCAAAACAACAGAAATCTTATCCCAAAGATTCAACGGACTTCATTAATTTCATTAAAATAAAGTCTCAGCGGACGCTACACCAATACTTGTTTCAGTGGAAATAACGAGCCTCTGCACGAACCTACCAAAGAGGAGGGAATCCAAACAGTATGCAAAGCATGGGAGGTTTTCATGAGTAAGGTAGAAACAGAAATCCTAATCCAAAGCGCATTTCAACCGCTCGTATGGAAACGATATATAGACCACATATTTTTACTCTGGACTATAAACAGAATTGGTGGTTTTCAGTGTCACGCCATAAAAAATAGATTAAAATAAAAATCAAAACTGTTCAACAGATAAAGTCCAGAATCTGAGAAAAGAAAGAAGGTAAATATGCCAAGACTCTCGCCAAGATTCAGGTCACAACAATTTTTCTTA